GAAGAGCTGCAGCTCATCTAACACTAACACCAATCTTGTAAATTCTTTCTGTGCCTCCCTCTCTCAATCTGCTGGTTAAACCCTGCACTTGGTCACTGGGCTTAGAAGGCAGAGAAGATTACAGACAGATAAACCCATGTTGCTTAAAGAGCAGGGACAGATGGCAGGTGCACGTTTGCCCTTGGGTGCTGGCAGGAAAGGTGGACTTTAGTGGGATTCCTGCATCTAAAGGTGAAGCCTGGAGGAGCCATTAAACCCTTATGCCTTTCTGGTTTCATGGGAGGGTGGCTAGCACAAGTGAAATGTTCTCTGTGGAAAGGAGGGAGTGATGATGACCAGAACCTCTGAGTACAAAGCTCTGGCCTGTTGGGGCTTGTCTGGCTGGATCTGGGCAGCTGTGCAGTCTTGCCTGTTAGTGTGGGAGCCATCCCCAGAGAAGCCGAGTGGGAGCCATGAGCAAACCAAGTTATTTACAGGGGTTATGGTTTGGCACTTTCTTTGAGAGACCTGGAAATTCCATGAGAGAGCTCGAAAGTCAGATTTGCTCTGCGGTCCTTCAAAAACAAAACAAAATAGAGCCACATTTTTACTGTTCCCTCTCTCATTTGAGGTGAGCTTGTTTATACACAGCAGCATCCTTCAGGTTTTCTGCCGAATGACTCATTTGTACTGAGTCACCAAAAGTGGGCCTAGGCCCATCTGCAGCTGCCCAGGACAACATGATCCACTCATCTGGCAGTCAGACAGGGGACCCCAACACACCAAGGGGCCGAGGTAACGTTTTCAGTTCAGACATTGTCTGAATTAATGCAAAGTCTGAGTTAGGCAACAAGAATGAATGGTGAATGGTCCAGTCATCCAAAGATACATCAATCTTTGGGTCTGATTTTAGTCTTGAACAAATTGTTTCCCCACTTGGAGCCCCCTTTTCTTCACTTACAAACGAAGAGGCTCACAGTCTTAAAACTCTGACATTTTATTATTTATTTACTGGGAGGGGAGAGGCCATGGAAGCTTGAAGTCAAAATTTAGACATTTTATTACTTATTTACTGGGAGGGATATACACACACAAGGAACTTTATTTACCAAGAAAATCTGTTTTCACTGAATCTTTGAAGCTCTCCCCTGGAGCTTTCATTTTACATTCAGTGATGTGTGTGCATTACTTTGTACAATCTACAGCCCGTTTTCTGATTTAATTTGCCCTAGTTGAGCCTGAGTTCACAGTTTTCTTTTCCCTGCAGCCTGTTTGGGTGTCCTGGCGGCGACGGCTCTGCAGAACTCTGCTGTGAGCCAAAGGCAGTGGTCGGGATGGGAGCGGAATCCGGGTGCGGGAGGACATAAGAGGAGTTTGCAGATTCTTGCCCGGGACAGCGGGTAAGGCGCTCGTCTTGGCAAAGGCATCAATCACAGCACTGAGCATCCGGGCAAGGGGCAGTGGTAGTGTTTGGGGGCACTTCAAGCTCCTCGGGACAGGGATAGCGCTAGGCGGGGCAGGTTTCTCTCTTCTATCAGAGTAACCAGCATAATCTAGCGGGTGCCAGTCAGTCACAGAGGAGGACCTGCTTTCACAGACCTACTGTGCGTCTATGGAATTGGCATGGTGCTTTCTCATTCGCAAAGCTCGGCTTTTCGCATCTTTCTCTAAAAGGCAAAGCGGTGCTATGTGGTGTGTGCGAGTGACCGAAGTTGCCCTGGGTCTCAGCTGACCTCGCCCGCCGCCCCCGGCCCCCAGCCCCCTGCCCTCTCCCCGCCCCGGCCCGCCGCGGGGCCGGTGATGTCAGCCGAGGAGGAGCCGCCCGCCGCCCGCGACCCGCCCGGCTCATTAGCATGTGGCCGGGTGGCCGCCCCTCCGCCCGCCGCGCCCACAACTTTTGAGGCGGGGAGCACGCTAGCAGGCTCCGAGCGCTCGCTGCGGCCCCGCCGCCCC